TCCGGGATCACCGTGGCATTCCTGTCGGACACACGAGTCACGACCTGTTTCTCTACAGTCGATGGGCGCGACACGTCTTCGCGAACAGCTCAGGATTCAGGAAACACGGTGTCTGACGCTGCGTCGTGACGTCAGCGCGTAGCAGTGACGCTTTCAAAATAAAAGCCGCCGGAGCTGCGCGCGTTAGACAAACTTTACAGGATATATTCCAGCGTGTGGACAAAAAGAGAGAAGAAACAACTCGCGTCTGATACATTCTGTTGAGTTTAAAAGGCAGGATTAAATCTCGAAGCGCAATGCTTTATACTTGTATACTGTATATATTAGAATCTGTGTTTTCGTTAAACCGAAATGAATGAACGCTGATAAAAGCTAAAAGCAACGCCATGTAGTTTCCCAAGAGGACTTCCTAATTATGCAGAAGAGTTATGTTCCCTGTGCGCGAGTCATATTTCTCACGTTTCTGTGTAGGATTATTGTGCGTCATGTGAGCGCTGTAATCCGATTGCCTTCAGAGGGGCGGGCCGAAGATCGACTGACAGCCTCCCCGACCTATCAGGCCGCAACCGCTGAGAGATCGACCAATGAGAGCGAGCGCTCGACAGCATGGGGGCGGGGTGCAGCCCTGTGATTGGCCGTGTCCTTAAACGCGCAGCCTCACGGCTAGCTTTCCGTTCTGTCCATTACTGAAACCCGAATGGAAACGACGTTAGTCTCACCCGAACAGTCTTATTCTGAATCCCGACGACTGTAACGGAATATATACTGTAACGGCGTCTGTGAGATCCAGATGTCGAGCAGCCGAAGGAGCACGCACTTCTGGAGCGAGGAGGAGACGGCTTTCCTCCTGCAGACTCTGAAGGAGATGAACATCGACCGCTACAGAGACGGACGCAAGCACCGCAACAGCCTGATCTTCCGGAGGGTCTGCGCGCGGCACAAGGAGGCGGGCTTCACGCGCTCCTGCGACCAGGTCAAGCACCGCTGGAAAACACTCAAGTCCATCTACTACAAGGCCAAGAAGCAGAGCAGCAGCAGCTCTAACGCGGCCTTCAAACACTTCGACACGATGGAGGAAATCTTCGGACACAGACCTGTGGCTGTCAGCACCGACACCGAGCCCGACAGCAAGGGCTTCACCTTCGAGGATGGAGAGGAGGAGGAAGATGAGGGTGAGTGGCACATCTCTAGTGCATGCAGTAGATGCATTGCCACGTGATATTAGAAGAAGTTTTATCAGAAACTATTGAGAGTCTTGATCAGAACAGAAGCGGCACAATAAAGAAATAATAAATAAACATGCATGCATATAGAACTTAAGTCAGACAAAAATAGGACCTAATGTGGTGCAGTGAAAGTAAGGGAGAAGTGCGGCACAGAGCAATCTTTTCGAGGATTTCTAACCTGGCGTGTTTGTCTGTGTTAAAGATAATGTGGTGGATGACGTGGAAGCTGGGATTCAGGAAATCCAGTCAGTGAAAACCGAGAATGAGCCCCTGATCCTCACACAAGCGTCACACGAGAGCTCCACGACATCCACCGAGAGCTTCACCTCCACCTCCACCTCCACCCAGCAGAGCGCAGCTCCAGGTCTGACACACACCGCTCACCCTCAGTTCATCCGAGATCAGGATGAGTGTGTTTCTTCATCAGGTTTGTAGAAATGTAGCATTGCATCAGTGTCTCAGCAATGGATGCTCTGCAGTGAATGGGTGCCGTCAGAATGAGAGTCCAAACAGCTGATAAAAACATCACAATAATCCACAAGTAATCCACAGCACTCCAGTCCATCAGTTAACATCTGGAGAAGACAAAAGCTGAAACAAATCCAGCATTAAGATGTTTTTAACTCAAATACCATTGAGTCCATAATAACGCTTCCTCCAGTGAAAAAGTG